CCTGTCCCAGCCTGTCCCTGTCCAGCCTGTCCGTGTCCATTCTGTCCCTCTCCCAGCCTGTCCCTGTCCCAGCCTGTCCCTGTCCAGCCTGCCCCGGGCCCGCCCCACAGTTGTACAGTGCCTGCTGTGTACCCACCAGGCTCTCCCCACAGCCCCGAGGACCAGCCTCTCCCACACAGAGGAGGAAACCGAGGCTCCAGGAAGAGGCTGAGCCTCCAGACCCAGTGAGGCTTGAGCCCGGGGCTGAGTCCAGAACCACGCAGCTCCACAGCCCAGACTGACCCTCTGCCCTAGTTCCACTGGATTCTTCAAATGCGGGGTGTCCTCCCTGCCTCCGTGTCCTGCTCACACATGGTGATGGTGGGGGATGAGCGCCTCGTCCTGGAGGAATCCAACAGGCTAGGGAAGGCCCTGGGCTGCGGGTGGACTCCGCTCCTTCCAGCCCACTGCCTTGCAATTCTTCACTCAGCCACACACCGTGGAAATCCTCCCGCGGGATCTCCACTGACCAATGGAGAAACTGAGGCACAGATGAGCAGGGGTTCCTGCCTGTCCTGTCCCCACCCCTGGGGACCCAGGAGCCCAGGCCCTGCCTGTGCAGCGAGTTTGGGCGTTGAGGGGGTGGGGCCGATGATGCCTTCTGATAATCTGGCCGCCCCCCTCCAATGCCTGCAGAGCCAATTAGCTCGCCGGCATGGGGGCGCGGCACGCTTCCACCCCGCAGCCAGTGGTGCCTGGCCCGGTGTAATCCTAGCAGCGGGTGCCCTCCCTGCCACCCCCGCCCCTTGCTGGGTCTCAATTTTCCCCACGTGTGTCGGGAGGAAGGAGCCGGGGCAGCGCGGGGGATCCGCTCCTCTCAGACCTCTAGTCGGCCTTTTATGTGCTAATAAGCCCCTCTTGGGCCCCCCTCGTGCCCCCCTCGGCCTGGCTGCGTTTACGTGACAGGGACCCGGGAGACCCGCGTTCTGGAGATCTAAGGGCTCCTTGGCTGTAGCCCCAGGCGGTGATGGCAGGGGAGAGGCTGGGGTCAGGCGGCTCCCCCGAGGAAGGGGAGAGAGGGCTGCGTGGCAGTCTGGCGGAGAGCGTGGCGGGCGGGGGCGCTGCCGGGCAGAGGCCTGGGGGGGTGGGCGTGTCAGGATGGGGGAACCAAGAGGTTGAGGAGAAGCCGCAGGATTCTGGAGACTGAGGTCTAGGGGACACGCTGGGGTCCCATGGGACGGGAGGGGTGGGGCTAGAATTCGAACCCAGGGTCCCTCTGAGCTGAGGGGGATGTCCTCTGGGCTTGTAACCGTGGGGGCTGAGGGAGGGAGGGGCGGGGGCTTACCTCACTCAAGGCCCGGTCCCCTGCAGGGAAACTGCTAGAGGTGGGCAGAACTTGCTCGGGGGCGTGGGACTCCTCCCTTGACCCCTTTTCCTGGCCCCGCCCCGAGGCCCCACCCACTGACCCGCCCCACCCCATGGACGGCCCCGCCCCCGCCTCGTGGCCCCGCCCACCCGAGGCACCGCCCCCCACCTCGTGGCCCCGCCCACCCGAGGCGCCGCCCCCACCTCGTGGCCCCTCTCGCTGACCCGTCCCCCGGTCCGCAGATTCCAGGTGGGCGCAGCGGACGGCGGCGGCGGCAGCTACACGGTGGAGGTGAGCATCAACGACTACCTGGACATCTACTGCCCGCACTACGGCGCGCCGCTGCCGCCGGCCGAGCGCATGGAGCACTACGTGCTCTACATGGTCAACGGCGAGGGCCACGCCTCCTGCGACCACCGCCAACGCGGCTTCAAGCGCTGGGAGTGCAACCGGCCCGCGGCACCCGGCGGCCCGCTCAAGTTCTCCGAGAAGTTCCAGCTCTTCACGCCCTTCTCGCTGGGCTTCGAGTTCCGCCCGGGCCACGAGTACTACTACATCTGTGAGTGGGGGACAGGGAACCTGGGGGACGGGGGGGTATGGGAGGGCTTGAAGGCAGGGGGCCTGGGGAGGTGGGATGAGGTGGACTGGGCTGGGGTGGGAGTCTCTCACACACGTACACACACACACGTACACACACACACGCACAGAGTTGTAACCTCAGGCGGCTTGGCCTCTGGGGGAGAGATGCCAGACCTGCCACTCCTCCCCCACAGTGAGACCTGGGCCACCTACCCTCATTAATGGGGGGAGGGGACCGGCATACCGAGCTGGTGGGGAGGGGAGAGTGGCCAAAGCCAGGGTGTGAGGGTGGAGCCCACACCCGGGCCGGGCTAACCCCTACACCTGCCCACCCCGCATCTGCTCAGGCGCACGCCGGCTCCCAGAGTCCCCGAGAGCGGGGGAGTCTTAATTTCAAGATCTGTTGGCGGCAGCCGCGGGCCTCCCTGGGTGTGCATAGCCCCACGGTGGGCCGGGCTGGGGGAGGCAGGTCTGTTCCTCCTGGGGTAGGGAAGTCCCATGCCTGATCTTTGAGTTCCTGCTCGCCTGTGACCTGGGCAGTTCTTTGGTCTGTATGAAACTCAGCCGGGAATTGGGGGTCCCGCAGTGCCCTCCCCTGAGATGGGGTTAATGGAAAGAACGGAGCTGCCGAGTGTCCTGCGGCCGTCATAACAAAGAACCATGAAGTGAGTGACTTACGGGAAACAATGTACTGTCACAGTCCTGGAGGCCGGAGGTCTGAATTCAGGGTGTGGGTAGGGCCACGCTCCCTCTGCTCTAGGGCAGGATCCTTCCTGGCCTCTTCTGGCTTCTGGTGGCCCTGGCGTTCCCTCTCGTGTAGCTGCATCTTCAGGTGGCCGTCTTCCTGCTGTCTCTATTATAAGCACACCACTCATATAGGGTTCGGACCCACACCACTCCAGTGTGACCTCCTGTAACTTAATTAATGACATCTGCAAATGTCGTAATTGCTGACAAGGTCACGTTCTTAGGTACTGGGGTTAGGACTTCAGTGCGTCTTTTTGGGGGACACATTCAACCCATAGCAGGGGTGTCATCAGCCCTTGGCAGGAGGTGTCCTGGCTGCAGGCTCGATGCTGTGGTGCTGGGAGTCTAGGGGATCCCCATTTCTCGACGTCTCAAGGTCCCGGTGGGAGGCTGTAGGCAGGGCCTCTGCGTTCGCCATCCCAGCTCCCCCTGTGTCAAATTAAACTTTACAAAGGTCCATTTTCTCCTTTCTGTGCCCTGTTTGGATTTTTTCCTTTTAATTCAGGAAAGAGGCAAGTGAGAGAGCCGGGTGAAGGTGTTTGAATTAAGTCCCTGTAATATAAGAAAAATTACATTTTTCTCTCTGAGACGGGAGTTTCATAAAGATAATTATTGTCATTACTCGTGCTATCTCTGTGACAAATGTTATTTTTATTACGTGCTCTTTATTTTCATCTCCCAGCTGGAGGGGCTTCTGGGGGGCAGGCAGGGGTGGCAGCCACTGAGAGCCAGGCCGTTGGGGGCCCTGGGCCTGGCGGGGACAGGCCAGACGTGTCCGTGTGTGAACGCGCATGTCTCCATGCTCCTGTCCAGCTGGATTCCAGGCCTCCTCTCCCCTCCCCATGAGGCTCCCCATGTCCCCCGCCCCTCCTATTTGGTGGCTGACACCCAGGGAAGCACCCCATCCCGGTACTTGCCACATGGGCCAAGAAGTAGGAGCAGTAATGGTGGACTTTCAGGCAGAGGACTGAATATGCCATCTGCCTCCGTGTGCCATCTCTGGAGGTCTGGGTCTCTCCCAGGGCGACGGGCTCGCTGTCTCCCCAGGTGGAAATCATTGTGTCCAAAGCGCCTGCTGTATGCCTGACAAGGCCCAGAGTGGGGGTGACTTGCCCACAGGCACTCAGAGAGCAGGGATTCCAACCTGGGTGTGTCTCATTCCAGAGGCAGTCATTTGTCTACGCCTATTTTTTGCAGATTGGACTCAAGCAGGGTATTTTTCTTCATCACCTCTCTACCTCACCCTTTGCTGCCCTGGGGTGAGATGGAGCTGGATACAAACCCCGAGCATCTGGGGTCAGGGCTGGACAGAGGGAGGGGCAGGAGGAGTATGCAGGTGGACTGCTGGGAAAGAGGGGGCATTGTGTCTGGGGCTTTGAGGTATGATTAGGAGTTTTATGGGTGGCTCCCCACCTCAAGTGAGGGTTGCGTCGCTAGCGTGGCAGTGGGTTAGGGGTGCAGCCCTGGGAGTTTTCAGGCATAGAGAACCCCCTGCCCCACTAACCCCATCCTCTGTCTTTCAGCTGCCACGCCCCCAAATGCCGTGGATCGGCCCTGCCTGCGGCTGAAGGTTTACGTGCGGCCAACCAGTAAGTGCTCAGGGTCCGGACCCCCACCCCTATGTCCTCAGCCCAGGGAGCCCAGTGAGTGGTCAGAAGAGCCAGCGGGGGCAGGGATGGTCAGAGCCTGGCCTTGGGGATCCCACGATCTCAGTAATGGTTGGGGTACACCCCACCCCCTGAGCCTCAGTTTCCCCATCTGAAAATTGGGACTGTTTCAGACCTTCAAGGGTGAAGGTTAAGGTCCATGGCCACGCCCCCAACCGAGGCCATACCCCCCTGTCCAGCCAGTCAGCCCTCCGCTTGGGGAGTGGTGTCAGGGGAACCCCCCAAACCAAAGGGCCACAGCTAAGAGAAGAGGGGGCTCCCAGCTGCCTCATGGTTTCACCCGGCCAAGTGTGCTGGACAGAAATCCTGAAACCTCATAGCGCCCGCTCTCGTGGGGGCAGGGGATGGTCGAACACTTGACATAAAGTGCTAGTCATGATGAGCTATAGGGAGACGCAGGGCGCAGGGCAGCCACTTTAGGGAGGAGACGTGGGCCCTGGGATGAGGGTGGGGTGAGGCGCCCCTTGCACAGATGTGCACACTGAGGCCAGGCAGCCGCCCTGACCGCCCTGTCTCTGGGTCTCCGCAGACGAGAGCCTGTACGAGGCCCCTGAGCCCATCTTCACCAGCAATAACTCGTGCAGCGGCCTGGGCAGCTGCCACCTCTTCCTCAGCACCGTCCCTGTGCTCTGGACCCTCCTGGGCTCCTAGTGCTCGTCCTGCAGGACACCGGCCCTCCCTGGACGGCCCCACCCCGGGCCCAGCCGCGGCCCCACCTCCGAGACCAAATAGAGACGTCGTTTCTCTTCTGGTGCTGTCTCGCCGGGCAGGGGCTGCCTACCCACCCCAGGACCGGTCCAGGGTGGGCGGCCGAGGGCCCTCACTGATGCCTGTGCGGCCAGGGTGTGGGCGCCGCCCCGGGCAAGCCATCTCCTCACCGGGCGTGCCCGAGGAGCTCTCGGCAACGTTCTTTTTTTTTTTTTTATTTTAAGTGTATTTTTCATGGTTGGATTGGAGAGACTTAAGTTTTTAATTTAATTTATTCCCTGCTGTTACTGGTGACTTTGGAAGGAAACAGAGTTGGGGGCAGGGGTCCCTGGCCCCCTGCCAGAGGGCAGCTGGGGACACCCAGTTAGGCTGATTCTCTCTGTCCTGCACCCCATGTGCTGGGTTCTTGCTTGAGCCCTTTGCAGGCCCCCAGGTACCCTGGAACCTTCCTGCCTGATCCTAGTCCAGCCACCGTACCCCCAGCCCTCCCACCCCCTGGCTCCTGATGACCATCTCCCAGAGTGGAAACGCATTGCATCTCACCAAAGGCACCACCGTCGAGCCCCCGGCCCCCTTGGAATCACAGTGCCCCACGTCTTATAAACCGCTTTGGCCAATGCAAACAAGCCCCCTTCTCTGCCACCCCCCACCCCCAGCCTCGCACGGTTGACTCCGAGGCCAAGAAGATGTTATATTTCTGTAAATAGAGCCAGCAAGTATATACTGTGATTTATTTTTAATGTATTCCTGAGGATGGACTGGAACATTTTTTGTTTCTTCTGCCTGCCCCCTTATAGGGGACTTTTATTTTGGTGGGGTGGGGGTGTGGGGGCTTTTTAGAGTAGAAGCTGCACTTCGCAATAAGCTCGTTTCATCTGTCAGAGATCCCCTCCCTCGACCCTCCTACCTAATAATGTTTGTAAGAAAAAAGAAAAAAATTTAAAAAAAAGGACAAAAGAAAAGGAAGGGGGGAACTACCACCAAATAGAGAAACCCCTCCCTGAAGACACTTTAATGAAGTAAACACCGCATTTATACAGATTTCATATTTCTACCCGCCTTTCCTGACTTATAATTTTATATATATTATATATAAATATATATTGTGTACGGCTGCCGGGAGAGGGCTCGCGGCACACCAGGAGCGAGGGGCAGGCGGAGGGCTTTTGTAGGACCTGGCGCAGGCCGGCAGTGTCACCACGCCGGGAGCTGGCGGCGGGGCCTCCCCTCCGCCCACCACAATCAACTTTGGATTCTGTATTTTTTTATAATAAAATGAGCATAAACCTCAAAGTTATATGTCCGTGTTTGGGCTGGCCGAGCGTTTGGAATTAACAATGGGGAGGTGGGTCTGGGGTCTTCTGGGGAGGGTTGCTTTTGAGGGATTATGTTCATTCATCATAAGGAGTCCTGGTGGTGTAGTGGTTGAGCGCTCGGCTGCTAACTGAAATGCTGGTAGTTCAAACCCACCAGCGGCTCCGAGAGAGAGAAGCATGGTGATCTGCTCCCGTAAAGATGACAGCCTAGGAAACCGTGTGGGGCAGTTCTCTGACACGTGGAGTAGCTACGCGTCGGAATCTACTTGACGGCAGTGGGTTATAGTATCCTTAAAGAACCCTGGTGGTGCAATGGTTAAGCGCTCCACTGCTAACTGAAAGGTCGGGGTTGAACCCAACCAGTGGTGCCACAGAAGAAAGGCCTGGTGATCTGCTCCCATAAAGATTTGGTGTTATTGTCAGTTGCTGCTGAGTCGATTCTGACTCATGGTGACCCCGTGTTTCAGGGTAGAACTGCTCCATAGGGTTTTCAAGGCGGTGACCTTTCAGAAGTAGCTCGGCCAGGCCTGTTTTCGTCATAAAGATTACAGCCTAGGAAACCCTATGAGGCTGTTCTACTGTGTTGCATGGGGTCGCCATGAGTCGGAAATGACCTTGAAGGCACCTTACGTGTCCATGTTGTTCGACCATCACCCTTATCCGTTCTCAGGTTTTTCCATCATAATAAACGGGTCAGTTCACCCTGACTTGATTTAAAAAAAAAAAACACACAAAATTTATTGACGTAGAATTCACATTTGGTTCCCAAAAGGAACCGACAGTTGGAATTGAGTCTTTGATTTTGTGCATTGTTTTGGGGCCAGGCCCCGGGATAAGCACTTTATGGGGTATCCTATCTGAAGCACCCATGGGCTTTGGTTTTCTGCTCTTGCAAATACGGAAGAACTGCCTGCCCCGGGGCGGATGGAGGGAGAAGACGGGGCTGACACAGCTGGTGCTTATTCAGTGCCCAGCACACCGACACACCTGAGCATCTGAGACCCCGGGCTGACCCCGGGCCCATGCTTAGGGGTCTCAGGTTCTGGATGAGTCTCTGAGATCAGTTGGAATCTGTGACGCCATCTTCGCCTACTTCCGCCAATGTGTGACTCTGTTTCCCCACCTGCCCCCGGCCAGTGGGAGTTCTGCTTTTTGCAAAAGGTGTGTATCTGTGGATTCTGGGCACCCTCACTCCTTGCCCAGCCCCATATTGGGGAAACTGGGCCTCGCCGGCAGGGCTGGCGGGCTGGGGTCCTCAGCCGATCATCACCCGTGTCCCACCCGTGGTGACTCTGCATCTCGGGCACAGTTGGCCCAGAGGGAACACTCACAGCTAATTAATTCGGCCGTGCCGGGCCTGCCAATGGGGGCTGCCTCCTAATGAGATCGGGGAGCCACACAAAGACCCCTGTGTGTGCCCGCCCCGCCCCTGCCCAGCGGTGGATGGATAGACCGATGGTAGATGCTGTGCTGAGCGTCGGGGGAGGCCTACGGATCCCCCTCCACCGACGAGGTGCAGAGAGGGGGGTGGTCTCTCAGTATCCCAGGGGGCACGATCACGTGTCCACTCATCCTGAGCCCCGCATCCAGCCACTCCAGCCTGGCCACAGGGCACAGGGGACTCAGAGCGAGAGAGTGAGGTGCAGGGCTGGAGGGGCAGAATCACAGCAGCTGACTCTGACCTTGTTCAGTTTTTTTAAATTGTGGTACATATTTAAAAAAAAAGAAAAACGCAGTTGCCGTCGAGTCGATCCCGACTCCTGGCCACCCCACGTGTGTCAGAGTAGAAGTGAGCTTCATAGGTTTTCATAATCACCAGGCCTTTCTTCCTGGGTGCTTCTGGGTAGACTCGAACTTCTAGTCTTTCAGTTAGCAGTCCAGCGCATTCACTGTTTGCACACCCAGGGACTCCATGGTGTATATATATATATTTTTGTAAGAAAATATTTGCCATTTCAACAATCTTCATGTGTTCAGTTCAGTGACGTGTCCCTCAAGCTTATCCATTTCTGAATTTTCCGTCACCCTTAACAGAAGCCTAATGTCCCTGACTTGATTTTTTTAAATCATTGAGATATAATTCACATATTGTATAACATACCCAATTAAAGTAGAATTGTGTGTTTTTTAGTATACTCACAGCTGTGTACCCATCACCACAATTTTAGAACGTTTTTGTCACCCACAAGGAAATCCCGTGCCCAGTAACAGTCACTCCCCCGGCCCCTGGCAACCACTGATCCCCTCTCTGTGTCTGCGGATGTGCTCATTCTGGACATTCTGGGATCCTGCAGGATTTGGCTTCTCTCACTGAGCACAGTGTTTTCAAGGTTCACCCACGTGGTTGCGTGTAGCGGAGCTTCATTCCTTTCTGTGGCTAATATTCTATTGCGTGGATGGACTAGCCTCTGTTCATCCATTCATCCCTTGGTGGACATCCGGGTTGTTTCCTTCTGTTGCGTGGATGGACTACCCTCTGTTCATCCATTCATCCCTTGGTGGACATCCGGGTTGTTTCCTTCTGTTGCGTGGATGGACTACCCTCTGTTCATCCATTCATCCCTTGGTGGACATCTGGGTTGTTTCCACTTTTTAGCTATTGCGATGATTTTGTCACTTTTTGACACAAAGCCTGAACACAAAAAGTGACCTTGGAAGGGTAAATATAAAGTAAGTTGTGTTTCCACCTCAGGGCCTTTGCACACGCTGTTCCCCCTGCCTGGTATGCCCTTCCCAGAGATCACAGCTCTGCTGTCTCCCTCGTCTCCTTCAGGCCTCAGGTCAAATGGCCCCTCCTGACCTCCCGGCCATGCGGCCACTGGCACCACGTGCCTTTCTGTCCCATCACGTTCATTCTTCACTTCTCTGTCTCCTCCACAGGCTGGGCCCCCCCGGAAGCCAAGCCAGGTCACTGCTGGGACCTCGTGCCTGGTCCACAGTATAGGGAGTGCCCCCCACAGACACGCGTGGACACACGTGTGCATGCAGAATCGTGCACAGGGGCCCTGGGCACACTCCTGCACCAGCCCCTGTGCCTGTGTGCTTTCTGGGCCTGGGAACCTCAGGAGCCCCCCACCCGCTCGTGGCCACTGCCTGGGCGACCTGTCCACGCACACAGTGGCTGCTTCCTCTGGGCTGTGTGGCAAGGCCCCTCCAGAAGCATGGGGGACCTAGCCAGACAGTGACATGGGCCACCCTGCCCTCCTCCAGCCCGGCCATCGGTATGCGTGTCCTGTCCTATGAGGCGCCTTTTCTGCCGGAGATTCCAGAGGGAATTGATTTCCCTCCTGCTGTCACATTACTGCTGCCTCAGTGCACCCGTGGGCAGGGGTTCTGGACAGGGGTATGGGAGGTGTGGCGGTGGGGACGGGCAGGGTGCTGGACTGGGGAACCCTGAGATTCTCTAGGGCCCCTATGGCTGCTCCGGGGGTGGAGCCGTGTCCCCCAAGTTCCCCTCAGGCAGGTTGATGCCTCCCCTTTCAGGCCCCCATAATGCTGCCTCCTCCCTCAGACCCCCACAGTGCTGCCTCCCCCCCTCAGGCCCCCATAGTGCTGCCTCCCCCCTCAGGCCCCCATAGTGCTGCCTCCCCCCTCAGGCCCCCATAGTGCTGCCTCCCCCCTCAGACTCCTGGA